TTTTTTTTTTTGTCTTTTTCTTGAGTTTGTTCTTATCTTAACATTGGGAATTACTATGCTGATTTGAATTCTGAATGTGTTTCTTATGTTAACTATTAGATTTTTTTTAATCCTGATAATTGGTCTTGATGGTGCAGGATTGGTTATAGCATGATTGCAGATGCTGAGGAAAAGGGCCTTATCACCCCTGGCAAGGTAGGTTTTTTTATTTATTTTTTTTTTATTTTTATTTTTATTTCTGTAATTTAAAACTTTAGGTTGGACATTATTACCTTAATTAATTTACACATCATAGATCATAGTTAGTCTATTTAGTCATGCACTTAGTGGGGGTACCCAGGGAAAATAGTTAAATAATGAACGAGGGATTTTGTCTTCTGGGTGAATTTTTAAGCTGTTGAGTTTCTGATGAATTTGATTGTGATCTGTGAATGTTACTGAAGAGTGTCCTCGTTGAACCTACCAGTGGAAACGCTGGAATTGGATTAGTGTTTATGGCTGCAGCCAAGGGTTACAGGCTTATTATCACAATGCCAGCTTCGATGAGTCTTGAAAGAAGAATCATTCTCAGAGCTTTTGGAGCTGAGTTTGTTCTTACGGATCCAGCTAAGGGCATGAAGGGTGCTGTGCAGAAGGCTGAGGAGATTTTAGCTAAGACACCTGATGCATACATGCTCCAGCAGTTTGAAAATCCTGCCAATCCTATGGTATTTTCTTAATTTACCTTTTAGTGGTGCAGTTGTTGGTTGGAAATGTATAATAAACTAATATCTGACAATTTTATGTAGATAAATTATGAGACAACTGGACCAGAGGTATGGAAAGGCACAGATGGAGAAATTGATGCATTTGTTTCTGGGATAGGTACTGGTGGTACCATAACAGGTGCAGGCAAATATCTTAGAGAGCAGAGCCCCAATGTCAAGGTAATGAGCTCTCATTGTGGATGTTAATTTGCTATAGGATTTGTTAATGTGAATCTTATTCATACTAAGAAATAATTTGCTATAAGATTTGTTGACGTGTGTCTTATGCAGTCTAAGAAATTAAAATAAGAGCTTGAATCTGTACTATTTTGGTCATCATTCACCATCAATTTTCTCATTAGTTTTCCTTTTTTCATGGTAGCTATATGGAGTGGAACCAGTTGAAAGTCCTGTTCTCTCTGGAGGCAAAGCCTGGTGAGTTTAAGCTGTAATCTTTACATGGCCATGGATGATTTGCTCATCCTGTTTTTTGCTACAGGTTCCTGAAGGCATATTTTTCACTGGGCATGCATCTTGTTTCCTTAAAGCAAGATCTTGTTTTGCCAAATTATTTTCATTATTATGTAGAGCACAGTCCTTCTTGATTTTGCTTTAAAATTTTGTGATTTTTTATTTGTATATGCCGATCTAAGCGTTTTTTCTCCAACATTATCAAACCTTTGCAGTTGATTACTCGGTCAATCTGGAATAGTTCCTTCATAATCAGCCTTCTTAAGCATATAGGTTCCTTTTACACTGTGCCATTATTTTCAATAATGTCTTGATTTCCATGATCTAATATATTCCTTTAATGACATTCGCTCTGGTCTCCTTGTCTCTATTTATTTATTTGTTATGAGTTTAAGAATCTTTTGGTTTGCAAAATTACTAAATCAATTCTATTGTATTAATGTGAAGGTCCACATAAGATCCAAGGAATTTGTGCTGGTTTTATCCCTGGTGTTTTGGAAGTCAGTCTTATTGATGAAGTTGTTCAGGTAAGGACAAAGTGTATTTAATTTATCGCAATGCTTTTAAAAGCCAATTCTGGATTAACTTTGTTTTGTTGTTATCTGAACAAGTCTTCTTCATGGGTATGATGATATAATATTAAAACGATTAGCCGGTTATTTTAGTGTTTTGCTAATTTTACAAAGTTTTAATAAAATTGTAATGGCCTCAAAATTTCCCTTTTTTTTTAATTGCCAGTTCTTTAAATTTGCAGATATCAAGTGATGAAGCAATTGAAACTGCAAAGCTTCTTGCACTGACGGAAGGCTTGCTTGTATGTTCCCAACCTTTCAAATCTCTGAGATTGGAATTTAAAACCTATACTCTTTTGCTATTTTATTTGAATTTCTGTCATCCAGTTGTACTCTTCCCTCCTGTCATGCTGACTTTAGAAGCTTCTTTTGCAGGTGGGAATATCATCTGGTGCTGCTGCAGCAGCTGCTATTAAAATTGCCAAGAGACCTGAAAATGCTGGAAAACTTATTGTTGTAAGTTTTATTTCTCGGCTCTTGATTTATGAAACTTTCTATTGGACCAGTTTTTGAATCCATTTGAAGGCTAAGGTGTTTGTTCTTATTTTGAATATTCTTGCCTTACCTACCATGAGCATATTATATAGCCAAATTTGAACCATGAGCATGAGCATAACCTTGGAAATCATCCTTGCTTGCCTTATATACATTGTTAGGAGGGAGAGCCCTTGTCTAACTAACCTTGAAAATTAACCTTGTTTGCCTTATCTAAAAACCATGAGCACGTTACTTCTAATTTGAAGTGTTTTTTAAGTTGGAGTGATTGATTAGATTGATTGAGCAATATGGAGGACAATAGAATAGGATCCATTTGAAGCAATAATCAATGGGATAATACATATCTATACCTGTGGAGTTTTTGTATCAAGAACAGCATGGAGTATCTTTCATTCATCCATTCAAAATTTACATCACACTAAATTCAGTTCCATTCATGAATATGTGCAGGTGATTTTCCCAAGCTTTGGAAAAAGGTATCTGTCGTCAGTGCTCTTTGAATCGGTCGGGAAAGAGGCCGAAAGCATGACCTTTTGATCCATGAGCTAATTCTCTTCTTTGCAACTAGTTCTGGTTTTATAGACAACATGGTTTATATCTGAGAATGAATAAATTTATTGAGTTACTTTGATCTGTAGGTTAAGTTCGGAATTTACTTGTGGGATAGCCATTCTGGTACTGAAAATGAACCATTTACAAATTTCTAAGGATCTGTACTTTTTGTGTCAATGTGTGCAAATCAATACCCCAATTTTTATTTGAAACATTTGCATACTTCAACACCCTTTTTTTCTTGGATTGGGCAACAGAACAAAACAAAATTGCTTCTTAGGGGCTGTTGGGTTGGGAAGCTATCATCTCTCCTAAACTTTCCCAAAATTTTCCGCTAAAAATGGAAGTGAGATTTTAAACTATTATTCCGCCCCCAACTCAGATCTAAACCATGCGACTCCTCAAAGTACAAAGTTAATAATTACAGTTGGTTTCTATGTTTATATAACCACCACCGACACTCATGGCGCACAAGAACGTGGCTTCCCTCTATATGTCGCGTGACAGAGGCACCGATGAGCGCCATTTATAACCTTAGGGCTAACCTCGATGGTCTCCGCGTACGGTGTCCGCATTTTGCAGCGATGCAAGCAGCATATCTCGTCTGTGCAACCTCCATTGATTACTAGAGCAGTGCTAGGGGCACTCGCCTCTTGCACTCTCCGGCTAACACTTCCCCTTTCATTGGGCCACGTAAGCTTGTTTCAGACTTTGAAGTGCAGCATCTCGCCGACAAGAATAACGTGGGCCAATAAAAGTGAAAGTGTTGGCCGGAGAGTGCAGAAGGCGAGTGCCCCTAGCACTCCTCTTGATTACTCGTCTGTGCAACCTCCATTGATTACTATATCGCATTTTTTAATAGCTGCTTCATGCTCAGAGATACCACTAAAACCAACTGCGAACCACAAATAAAAACAAAAGTTAATTGATAGGTCGTTATTATTGTCAGAGTTACAGAAAGCAAAAGGCTGAAATGAGACTGAAAACCCATTAGCATTGATACAGAGGATTTGATTCAGGATTCTACACTTGCAATTTCCTACTCAAAACCCAAACTTTGACAGATAAACTTCACCACACACGAAACCATCAATTTGGGGGGGCGTCTAGCTTCGGGGGGGCAAACTTTCCGTACGCTTTACTAAACTTTTCCAACATCTCGCACCTCTTCTGATAAGGTAAGAGTTTTTTCTTTTTACAATTTTCTTTGTTTTTTTCTTTGTTTTTTTTAATAGATCACCCTATATGTCGAAGTCTACTGTTTACCAACTACTCTAGATTTAAACTGGGCAGGAGCCAACTGACAGCAAAAGTCCCCTTCACCCGTTCGTGAATTTTACAATTTTCTTTGTAGTGGACCTACTTAATAGTTA